AGATCTTCCAGATATTAGCTTACATCAGTGCTCTAAATTGTATCAATTTGATTAATTTAGAAATACTTATGCTAATAATTTGTTGAGTCATTTGAATTTTTATCATTCCTATGCTTGCCATAACTTTGGATACAATTTTATCTATTTATTAATAAATTCTAAGTTTATTTTCTCTAAATTCAATTTAATTTTTTGAGATTCAATTTATTTTCGAAATTCAATTTATTCTTTTATTTGGTAAATGGATTAACATAATTTTGAAATAAGCTAAAGATTTCTGAATATCACTTTATGTTAATACTTTTAAGTGCATGGAATACAAAGTAAGTCTTATCAACATTTGCAATCATTGTTGAAAAGCAAACAAATTATTACCATCATAGAGTTATTTGGAAGCGGAACAAGAAGAAATCTGTTCTCAATTGGAAGATTATGAATATAGCCCTTTTCCATACAGCAGTACAAAAATGCTTCGAATTTACAAATTCTGGCTCTACATCGTATAAGTACTATGATGTTTTGGTCCAAACACCAACTGAAGCAACCATCACGTTATCATGGTAGAAATAAGGAGGCCCAATAGCATCTTCTAGAAGTGTTCTTTGAGTTATCTTATCTGGTTCGGTAAGAACTCCAAAAACAATCATTGGATTAGGAAGATGAACTGCATGATTGTCTTCATCAAGAAGCTTCTTTCCAAGCTACCTATGCTTCTTCTTTTTTAAGAAAATCATAGCCCAAGTTTTGCTTTTTCTTGTAATTGGGATCATTGCATAATGACTTCCTATCTTTTACCGGAAGAAGTGTGTCAGTAGCCTTAGCCATTTGAGCAGCACATATAAAATCTGTCAACTCTGCAATTGATAAATCAGGACCACATCTCTATGACCATTGAAGACTTAGCATTTGAGTATCCCATTTTCGTCAAGTATAACAGTTTACTCTCCTTATCAGAATCAGAATTCAGAATTTCCTCGGTATTAGAAGAACTATCAATATCTGCGAAATCATCTTAAAAGATCACTTCATAATCAGATGAGTAGTTATCATAATCAATATGTTACATGAGTACAAACCTTTCAAGAGCCTGTGCCATTGAGTTTTGTTCTCAAGGGGTTTTATGACATTATACAAAAATAAGGCATATCTACATCTACATTTTTCAAAGATGATAGATTCTCTGTTCGAAGAGGAAAGATTTATTGGATTTTTACACAATTGAAGAAAGACCAAGTTCACCAATTTGAAATCAAATAAAGATGAACTTAACATTCATGCATCATATTTAGGCATTTGCAAAAATAGGTGCATTTCCATTCATTTTATCCATGTTAAATGTTGTCAGGAATTTCAAAGATTTTAGCAAAGATTCAAATCCATCACAATGGATCAACATTTTCAGAAAGTTCATAATGAGAATAACTCATCTGAAGAAGGAAGAAGAAATTCATAATGAGAAAAATTTATTCAACTTTTGTTTGAATTCATCATTTGATGGATCAACTTTTCCAGAGAAAGTTCATAATGAGAAGAACTCATCTAAAGAAGGAAGAAGAAGTTCATAATGAGAAGAGCTTGTTCAACCTTTTGCTCAAATCCATCACTTGATGGATCAGCTTTTCCAGAGAAAGTTCATAATGAGAAGAACTCTTCTGAAGAAGGAAAGAAGTTCATAATGAGAAGAGCTTGTTCAACCTTTTGCTCAAATCCATCACTTGATGGATCAGCTTTTCCAGAGAAAGTTCATAATGAGAAGAACTTATCTGAAGAAGAAATAAGAAATTCATAATGAGAAGAATTTGTTCAACTTTTTGTTTGAATTCATCACTCGATGGATCAACTTTTCCAGAGAAAGTTCATAATGAGAAGAACTCATCTGAAGAAGGAAGAAGAAGTTCATAATGAGAAGAGCTTGTTCGAACTTTTGCATGACCCTATCACAGAAAGGATAGATTAGCATCAACATTTTCAGAAATGTTCATAATTAGAAGAACTCATATGAAGAAGAATGAACATAACTTATTCGACCTTTACATGATTATATTACAGAAGGAGATAAATTGTCATCCCCAGTGGAAAAGTTCATAATGAGAAGAACTAATCCCATAGAAGAATTGATTTAACATAGCCATCATAATCAAGTGAAGTCCAATGAAAAAAAACATATTATCTTTTCGTCTTTGCTCTATTCTCATTAACACAAGAATGACCAAAGATGGGCAGCTGAAGATACTTGTTTTTTTTCATTTAATTACTATTATTATTATTATTATAAAATAAATAATTATTTACAAATGTTATTACAGGCCCAATCAAGACTGGACCGGCCCAGTTACAAAAGACCCAACTGGCCCAAACCTAATAAAAACCCTAAAACCCATTTAGGGTTTGATCCCAGCTTTAGCCGCCACTCATCTCTCAGCAGTTGGATCAGATCTTGATCCAACGGTCCAAGGACCTCCAAATGCAAACCCTAGGGTTATGATACCCTAGGGACCACGCGCCGCCGCCTCTGTCTCCAGCCGCCCCACGTCAACGTTCCAGCTGCCGCCGCCCTCAAAGAAGCCTCCAGAAGGGCCACTGAGCCATCCACGTTGTTACCCTATGGTGAGTCACCACCATAGTTCGGTGACTCACCGAGGGCCATTCCATTACCCGGTCCGATGAACGTCTCGACGAGGTTATAAAGCCTCGATTCACCTGCAAACAAAAAAAACCCACGACAGCAACCCAAGAGAAAAACATAAAGTAAAAAAAAATCCAACAGCCACAGAGAAGAAAAAAAGCAATCCAGCAACCACAAATCACCAAAACAGCAAGGAAAAAAGAGAAGAGAAACTTACCGAGGGAATAGCGGTCATCAGAGCCTCCTTGCGCCGTCGGAAAGCCAAAGGTCGAAGGTAAAAAAATTAGATCTACGCATTTCAGTAGTATTTTAGGCTAAAAAACCTCCGAATTTAGCTTTAGGGGAAACCATGCTTTAATTTGGGGTGGGTTTTGTAATTTCCGGCCACCGGATGTGGTGGCCGGCGGCGGATTTGGCGGTGGCCGACCGGAGATCGTTTCCCTCCGGTGAGGGAAATTAAGAGAGAAGGGAGAGAGCTCTTCTTCTCTCATTTTTTAGAGAGAAGAAGAAGAGAAGAAATGAGGATGCTGGCCCTTCGGGCCAGCCGTTTGGGGAAATATATATCCCTTCCCGAACGACGTCGTTTTGGGAAGGGGTATATACGTAATTTACATGTATGGACAAACCATTTCCGCAGCCATCTTAGTTTTGTAACATTCCATTTTAGTCACTAAAATAATTTCCTATATGTCGTGATTTAGTCCTTTAATTTTATTTTCTTATAATTTAGTCCTGACCGAATATTTATATAAATAATTAAGGTAAAATATGTATTTAGTCCTTACTCTTTCAATAATATTTATTTTAATCCTGACTAGTAATTTATGTACATATTATAATTAATCCCTTAAAATTTATTAAAATTTATTTTAGTCCCGTATTAATTTTTTTAGGGTTAAACTACATTTTTAATGTATATACTGCATAATATTTATAACTATGGCCATTAATTGTTTATATTCTATAATTTAATAATTAAATTTTATATAATTTTGACCATAAGTTTTATATATTTTGTGATTTAATTCTATAATTGTAATTTCTTTTATATTTTAGTTATTTATCATTTTTTTATTATTATTACTTAATCATATATATATATATATATATATAAATATTATTTATAAATTTAATATAGAATACTTTTTATTATAAGCATGTTTTAATTTAATATTAAAGAAAATGACTGTCTTAAAGCACCTAGAAGTCCGTTTTCTGATTTTTTTACTCTATAAAATATATATTAATTTTTTATTAATATTTATTTAATATCGAAGAAAAGAGTTGTCTTAAGGCACCTAGAAGTCTTTTTCTGATATTTCTTAATAAATAAATATCTTATTTATAAATTAATAGATTTTATTAAAGATACTAATAAATTTGAAATAATAAGATTATAAATTAAATATATCTTTGAAATTTTAAATTTCCAATAATAGAGACAATTTATAAATAATAAAGTACCAATTGTGGGCGTTATAGGGGTGTTAATCCTTCCCTAAACGTAATCGACCACAAATCCTGTTTTACTAAAATTTTTGGTTATACACAGATCAATTTTATCTTTTAAATTATGTTTTATTCAAAACTATTTTAAAAGATTGTTTTTTTTAGGTATTTGACCTACCTAACCCCAAAAGGTCAATGTCGACTTCCAAAATATTTATTTTAAATCAAAATCATTTTTATCTACATTAATTTTCTCCGTCAAGTAAAAATTCGTGCTCGGACGAAAACCGGTGACGACACGAAGAAATGATTTTTTAAAATAATACATCGATAATTTAATGTATGTAGAAATATAATATCAATAAAATGTGTTGATTATTAGTAAATGATGTAGAATCATTTGAGTTGTATTTTATATATCGTATCTCTATTTACATTATGTCATGTAATTAATGCTTGAAAAATTACTTCATTTGGACAATGCTTGAAAGTAAATTTCGTACCAGTAGACATAATTAAAATATGATTTTATCAAATCCCAATTAATAATTTAGTGTTAAATTTAGACCACCGTTAATTTTTAAACAAAAAATAAAAAATTTAAAACATATGAATAATCAAATAATTATTTTATAATTTTTTAATAATAAACAAATTTAACAAAACAACCTACTATAAATTACAAATAATTTATGTGTTTTACCCAATAAATAATTAGTACATTAAAATTCACGCTTAGCCAGATTATGCACATTAGACCAAAATTTGTTTGGCAATAATTTTGGCAGATTCCTTCAAAAAGGGAAAATACCCTGCTCCCTCCCTTTCTGAAAAATAAAAATGTTTCATATCCTCCCTTCCCCCTCTACTTTTTAAAATTTTAGAAGTATTGCCAATGAATTCAGATTTCCTGCTTCACCACCACTGCACCTCCCTCGGCGCTCTGCCTCCCGTGACTCTGAGTTGGTGACCTCGCCTAACTCACTGAGTCACTTGCTCCCAATAACTTCTCTCTCGTCGTTTCCTCTCCTAACCCTAACTTCCCCCTTCTATTTCTACAATCCAATTTCCTTTTTCTTTTCTTTTAGATTTTTAAAATGGTGGCTCAGTCTCTGCCCTCCTTGGACACTTCCGTCCCATCGCCGGAAAGCCCAAACAAAAGAGTCAAGATCCAGTTAGAGGAAGGTTCCTCGCCCAAGGACGCCGTTTCCGGACAAAGGAGAGCTAGCGCCAGACTTCAAGTTGCAAAACAAAAAACTGGCAAGGAGCTTTTGTTAAAGCGGGGAGCGGACCTTCTGAACAAAAATGGAGCAAGTTGCATAAAAAGGGTCAATAAGAATACGGAAAACCCAAACCTAAATTTAAATGGTACCAAACAGCTTCTTCAGATTTCATCATGTCATACTGAACCTAAAGTGAGCTCCGAAAACCTTAACCAAGATCAAAATGGTACCCATCAACAACTTCCTCGGGTTGAACCCAAGATGACTGTGAAAGTAGCCAAAATGGTCCAACGAGCTGCCAAAATTGCTGAGGGACTAGATTCTATTCGTGCTATCAATGCTCCAAATGTTTTTGAGAAGAGTGCACATATTAAGGTGAAAGAGACTTTGAGGTTTTTCAACAAGCATTACCTCCACTTTGTTCAGGTCTGTATTTTGTTGCTTTCAAATTGGGTTGTAAATCATCTATTCTTGTTTGTTTATACAATGTGTTGTGTTTTCATGCCGTTCATCATTTCATATAAGTTCAGCATATTTTTTGCTTATACTATTCTTTTCGGATGGGTACTTAGGAAGAGGAAATGAGGTGTGCTGCAGTCAAAGGTAGCAAGAAACCATCGAAGGGCAAAAATTCCCAAGGTACATAATCCCTTTTTTATGTTGATTGATCATTGATGACTGTGAGAATTCATGAAGAAAAGAATATTTCAATAAACCTTTTAAATAGGAAAAGTGTTACATAAACTAGAGTTCTTTTTCTACTAGGTTTTTTCATCTCCTTAGACTCTTATCAGCTAAGAACTTATATATGAAGACTCTTATCTCCTAAGAAAGTAACATAATTAGATAAAACTGATCCTAAAAACAACAATATTAAAAAAATTAAAAGACTTCTAATTTTGGCTTCTTTCTATAGACTCATGGTTTATAGTATATAAGTTGCATGTTTGTGCCCCTCTGCCTTCATTTATCTAACTTCGCTGCTCCTTCAACCTGTCTGCAACAGATAAGGAAATTTGGATTAATTCTTCCATGTTTGCATCCACACATTGTTTTTGAGTGTCTTTGTTAATGTTCAAATATTTGCAGAACGGAGATGTACCTGATGCTGATGTCAAGGGCAAAGCCAAGCGACCTGACCTGAAAGCAATAACAAAGGCAAGTCGGTCCTGTCAGTTTTTGTTTATTCTGATTGTAATATTTAAGTATTCATCATAGCTTTTATTTTGACCTAACCAACAGTAAGCTTATAGCTACTTGACTTGCATATTTTCTCCTCTTACATTGATTTACATTATATTGTTAGATGGACTAATACGCTATGTTAAATCTGACAAAGGGTTTTCTCATAGGTCATTGTAAGAATAACATACTAAACTTGTATATTTCCCCCTCTCAATATATTGGTGGCTGTTTATGGGCTGTACAGTGGAACTTTGTTGAGTTAATTATAATGATTATGAATTTATAATAATGTTACAAAATTTTCTTGGTTATGATTCTGCTATTCTATTCTATTTTATTTATTTAATTTTGTTTTGCTAAAAGCATGTGATTATGGTTTTACTACTTATTTTGATGTTATGTAGCCTAATGTTCTCTCAATATTAAAAAACATTGCAGATGATAGAGAACAATGAGGTGCTTTGTCTCGAGAAAATGATAGGCTGCCTTCCAGGTTGGTTGTGAGAGCTTATATTTTAATACTGGTATTAGTTGGATGATAGGTACACTTGTGGTCATTTCAAAAATCTTGTTTTTTGAGTTCAATAAACTATTCTCTTATGTGTCTTTAATGTGATGCAGGCATTGATGTTGGTCATCGGTTTTATTCTCGTGCCGAAATGGTTGTTGTTGGTTTTCATAGTCATTGGTTGAACGGTATTGATTATATGGGACAGTCCTACAGGAAAGGGGTAATGCATTCATATTTTCCTATAGTTTCTACATTGTGCATAGTAAGTATGTGGTCAAGCTTTCCAACCTCCCAAAAATGGAAAAGAATCCAATTTGTGCAGGGGACTCCTGCTGTTAGTTTTGTTTTATATTGTCCTGAAGTGCTTTTAGCTACCATTACAAGATGTTATTGCATAAAGTATCCCTTGAAGAAAACTTGCTTGAACATGAATTGACATCTAAAGAGTTGGGTGCCACTTGTACCTCTTTTCTAGTTTATTGTGCGATTTCAATGGTTGTGGAGGAGGGGGCATTCCATTAGCTTATTGTGCGATTTCAATGGTTTGTGTCCCATTAAATTGTTGGTCGGTCCCGTTCTTCTCTAGTTTAGCATCCAGATGGGGAAAGTTAGTTAGAATTCAAGATCAAACTGCACATAGAGTGGACTGCAGAGTGGCGCAGTTGCTACTACGGGTTGAGAGTCCATTTGATATTCCAGAACATGTCATCATCAATACATATGGGAGGAAGTTCATGATCAAAATTAAGCTTGAATGTGTGGAGGATTTTTTTCCTGAGTTAATAGACATGGAGAAAGAAGAAGTTGCAGAGGATCTTTGGGAGGAAAGCTCTTCGAAGTGGAGCAATGAAGAAGTGCATAATAGACAGGAAGAGCAGGTGGGAGAGAAGGAGTTGTCAGAATCCCAAAATAAGGTTGAGGAATGGGTTAGAAGTTCCCAACAAGGGATAAGCACAAATACCGAGGGGGTTTGAATTTATACATAGGTATGGAAAATACGTTTGACTTGTGCAAAGATGTGACCAAGGTAGGTGACGTCTCCATCTAGCAGGAAAAGTCAAAGAAGTTCATGAAGGGAGAGAAAATGGGAAATGTCTGGGAGGAGCTCCCATTGAGCATGAGAAAGTTGACTGTGAAAGTGGGATTCTTAGGGGCCCGGTAGTACAGGTGAGTACTGGGCTGGATCAAAGGAGGAGAGATTAAGCAAGGATTATTGTATTGCTACAACAGAAATCAATGCTGTGCATGATCATAATCCCTTGCAGGGGGGTCGGTTTCTTTGTCTTCTCAAATAAATTCTAGGAAGGTTGTACCTGGGAGTAGAGTGGGAAGGGGTAAGTACAAACGTGTTTATTCAAGATTAAGGAGGGGGGATCTAGGAGCTGTATTGGTACAAGTTCGGAGTATGCTTATAATAATGAGGAGGTGGATGGGGCAGAGGCTTTGGAGTGCTGGAACGTAAGTGAATTGTTAGGGATTACATTTAGAGGGAGAAAGAAGCTTTTATGAACAAAACGATTCCTTTGGTGAAGGAGAGAGAAGTACATGGGGGAAATTAAGGGGTGCTGGAATTTAAGGTTATAGCTAGATATTGATGATTAGTTGGAATTTAATGTCTTAGAATATTAGGGGTTTGGGTAGGAGGATAAAATCTAGAGTTGTTAGGAGGACTGTGGAGGAGAGGAAGCCTTTAATTTTAATCATTCAGGAATCGAAAATGGAAGTGTTGAATCAATCAGTAGTGAGGAAAATGGGAGGAAATTTGTTGACAGCTGCGACAGTTTCAGCAGCTGAAGGTTCTGCTGGAGGTCTGATTACTTTATGGAATGAAAAAAAGTGTCAGGTTCAAGAGGAGATCATTCATAGGAGATTTGTAGCAGTTAAGGGTATTATTGATGAGGTACTAGGGTCTTGCTGGTTCATAAATGTGTATGGTCCGAGTGTGGATTCAGAAAAGGAGGCGTTCTTTGGGGAGTTGTTTTTATTTTTGGAGAATGTAGACTGTCCAGTTTGTCTCGGAGGAGACTTCAACGTTGTTATGTCACAGGATGAGAAGATTGGAGGTGCAGTGAATTTAGCTTCTATGCTTGCTTTCAGAGAATTTGTGAGCAAAGCTAATCTAGTGGATCTGCCTATGGTTGGAGGTCGATTTACATGGTGTAACAATAGAGAAATACCAACTTATGAGAGACTAGATCGATTCTTAGTGGATCAAAGTTTTTTATCATTGTTCCCCATGATAACACAAAAACTCCTAGAAAGGTCTGTTTCAGATCATAATAGCATCTTGCTGGAAAATAGGGGATGGAATTGGGGCCCGAAACCGTTCAAATTATTTAATTATGTCATGGAAGAGGATGGGTTTTGTAAGATGATGGAGGGAGAGCTGCACAAGCTTTGTAGAGTGGAGAATAGACAACCAATCTCTAGCGTGCTAATAGGAGTGCAGGAAGCAGTGAAGAGGTGGTCTAGGAAGGGGTATTTAGAGATCCCCGGGAGAATAAATAGGTTGGAGAAAGAAATTCATGAGAAGGAACTTCATTTGCAACAAGGTCTCCCCATGGTGTCTATGAAGAACTTAGTGGAAGCAAGGAAAGAGTTGTGGGACTTGTATAAAAAAGGAATCGATTTGGCTTCAAAATTCAAGATTGAAATGGAATTTGGAGGGGGATAAGAACACCAGATTTTTCCACCAATGTGCAAGAGGTAGAGGAAGGAGAAATGGTATCAAATCCATCAAAGTAGATAATGAAGACATTTCAGATCCAAAATTAATTAAAGCTTCAGTGGTGCATTTTTCAAGGGGTTGTCTAATCAGGAAAATACATTGGAAGTTGAGGAGCTGGACCTGGAATTTTTGCAACTCTCAAAACAGCAGAGTATGGCCTTTGAGAAGCCTTTTTCTGAAGAGGAAATTTGGGGTGTAATTGCTAATTCAGATAGTAACAAAGCACCTGGACCGGATGGACTGAATTTAGGTTTTTTCAAGAAGTTCTAGTCAAGCTTGAAGGAAGTTCTGCTGCTGTTTTTTAAGGAATTTTATGAGGGTAAGGACTGGGATTTGGAAACCAACCACTCTTTCCTCTCTCTTATTCCTAAGAAGGCCAATCCGAAGGGGTTAGAAGATTTTAGGTCAATTAGCCTAGTTGGGGGTTTCTAGAAAATTCTTTCAAAAGTACTAGCGAGAAGGTTAAGCTTGTGTATTAATGAAGTTATTAGTCCATCACAATTTGCATTTATACCAGGGAGACATTTTGGATTGCTCGTTTATAGCAAATGAAGGCATTGATTGTTGGAGGAAAAAAGGATTGAAGGGAGTTGTTTTTAAGGTGGATTTCAAGAGAGCCTATGATTCGGTTGATTGAATCTTGTTGAAAATAATGAGTAAAACGGGGGTTTGGAGCTAGATGGAGTTCTTGGATGTACAAGTGTATCTCAACAGCTTCCATTTCGGTTTTGGAAAATGGCACACCTACAGAGAGAATACACACTACTAGAGGATTAAGACAGGGTTGTTCGTTATCCCCTATGTTGTTCAATTTGGGAGGTGAATTGTTACATTTAATGTTGGTGAAAGCAGTGGAATAAGGGATGTTTTCGGGTTTTGAATTAGGCTCGAATGATCGTTCTTTCATGTTATCACATTTGCAATTTGCGGATGACTTAATAATTTTTAGCAAGGCTTCTACTCATGATTTGGTGAATATTAGAAGGGTGATTTTAATTTATGAATTGTTGGTGGGGCTGAAGTTGAATATGAATAAGAGCAGAATTTTTGGAATCAATGTGGGGGAGGAGTTAGCTTCTTGGGCCGTGGAAATAGGGTGTGAAAGAGGAGCTTTTCCATCGGAGTACTTAGGTCTACCGTTAGGGGCTAAGAGGAATTCTTTTTCCTTGTGGGAACCGGTTGTACAAAAATTTTATAACAGTTTGGCTGGTTTGAAGGCCAAGTCTCTGTTATTGGCTGGAAGGGCAGTTTTGGTCAAATCAGTGTTGTGCTCTCTTCCAATTTATTACCTTTCTATTTTTCGGATCCCTATTAGTGTTCTCAACAAATTAAATTCTATCATGGCAGCTTTTCTATGGGGGGAATCGACAGAAAAAAAGAACATCCATTGGGTAAAATGGGAATTGGTATGAAAGCCAAAGAAGTTGGGGGTTTGGGGATTCCGAATCTGTTGCTTTTAAACAGGGCTCTTATGGGGAAATGGGTGTGGAAATTTGCTGCAGAAAAAACCTCTTGGTGGAAAATAGTGGTCTATTGTGTAAACAATATGGATCCAAATTCAATGATGATCCAGAATACTTGGACAACACGTACTTCTTGGATTTGGAGAGGAGTTGTTAAGAACTTTTTTTCAAGTGATGCATTTGAGGATTGTTTTAGGAAAAATTTGTGTGTTAGAGCTGGAAATGGAGAAACAGTTCAGTTTTGGCATGATGTATGGTTGGGTTCGGTTCCTCTGAAAGATAGGTTTCCAAGGTTATTTGCTCTATCGAATAACAAAGGGGGGAAGGTTGCAGAATTTAGACTGTATAATGATTCGGGTGGGGTTTGGGATATTCAAACAAGAAGGAATTTGGTGGATTGGGAGGTTGAGCAATGGCTGCAACTTATCTCTCTCTTGAATAGTTCTTCATTGTCATTAGTAGAGGATGATTGTTGGATTTGGTTGGGAACTGGTGAGGGTTGTTTTACAGCAAAGTCATGCATGCAATTGTATTTTGATAGAGAGGGTAATGATGAAGTAGAAGGTAATTGGGAAAGATATGTTTGGAAGGGGGTAGCTCCACCACGAGTGGAAACCTTTGTTTGGCAACTTGCTCATCATAGAGTAGCGGTGAAGGAGGAGCTGCTAAGAGAGGAGTTACTGGGGTGGAAGACACTGTGTGCTCTTTGTGCAGGAAGTGCAATGAGTCGGTCTCCCATTTGTTTCTGCATTGTGATGTGGTGTGGGATTTGTGGGCTAAGTTTTTAAAGTACTGGAATGTTTGCTTTGTGGTTCCGGCTAAGTTGATGGAATTTTAATTGCGTGGGATGAGCTTGTTCCGAGATCTATCATATGGAAGTTTATCCCTAGGGCTGTGCTGTGGTCGGTTTGGAAATGTAGGAATGAGGTGATTTTTCAACAAGGGAAGGTTGATTCTGCGCTATTGTTCTTCATTACAAGATTCAAAATTGTTTCTTGGTTTGGAACTTCATTTAAGGACGTCCATGCTCCTTTCGATTACTTGATGGGGGATTTACAACTAGCAGACTTGAATGGTAATATGAAAAAGAGGTCTCATCCTTCTTATAGGTGGAGTCCTCCTCCGGAAGGGTTCTTAAAAGTAAATGTAGATGGTGCAATGGTCAAAGGTTGGGATAAGGGTGGAATAGGTGGATTGATTAGGGATGGTAGTGGTTCGGTGCTTGGGTCGTTTTCAGAGAAAGCAGGGGAAGGTCCTCCTTTACTTGCGGAGCTTTTGGCGATCAAAAGAGGGTTGAATCTTTTCGAGGAAGTTGGTTACATTCCAAGTCAGAGGATTATTTTGGAATCGGATTCTACTAATGCTCTAAAGTGGATTAAGAATCCGGACCTTAGTACTTCTTTGTTCAAATCCTTGGTGAGGGATATAGCTACTCGTGTGGAAAGGAAGGATATTATCACAAGGCATATTTCGAGAGCTGCAAATTGGGAAGCGGATGAATTAGCAGAAGCTGGTATAGGTTGATTTCTGGGTTTCTGTGTTATACCTTGGCTGTTCTTTTTAACGGAGTTATGAGGGTGCGTTATGTATTTAGAGTTATGTATTAAAGGTTATGTTGTTAGTAGTTAGTCATGAAGGTGTGAAGGTGTATTATTGTTCTCATTAATAAAAGTTAGAGGCACTCTTTTCCTCCTTTCTATGTTTTTCATGTTATGTTTATAACATGTAGGATACGAAGGGGTTTTTTAATGAGGCCTTATTTTATCAAAAAAAAAGTATTTATATTTTTAATCTGGGCTAGAATCTTATTTTATTAACGCTGCAATTACCTGGCAGAACCTTGTCTCATTTCCTGCCCTTTTTCCTTTTTTAGATCTTTTAGACAGATTTTGTTTTTATTCTCACTTAATTTTTTTTTGATGAATGCTCCTTGGGAGTCCTTAATTGGGTTGTTTTCTGAGTGAGTGGTTACTTGTATTTTTGTTTATCAATTCCAGCAACATTCGTGATACAACCATCTCATTTAATTTTAACATATCTTTCTGTTGAAAATTGCAGGAGTATGAAAACTACACATTCCCACTTGCAGTAGCTATAGTTTTGTCGGGCATGTACGAGGATGACTTAGATAATGCTGAAGATGTTATCTATACTGGACAGGGAGGACATGACCTGACTGGTAATAAGCGTCAAATTCGAGATCAAGTTTTAGAACGTGGTAATCTGGCGCTTAAGGTGTGGATTTTAAACTCTTATTCTTAATTCTTGGATTATTGTTAACTAAATTTGTTACTAGTTGGAAACTAAATATATTCAAACTTTTGTAATCTTACCTGGTATATAATCTTAAAATAGACCATAGTGGTATAAATGAATATGAATATGATTATGAACATGCTTCATTTGTAGTGTCTTTGCTTGATTTGGCTGAATCACTGTGTGCGTATATTCAAAAGATATGCTTTCTAGCATTGCAACCATGATATGTTGGGTTCAAGAACAATAAAAGTTATGTTATATGTGTGCATATGCATATCATGTTAATGTTTAAAATAGGGATGTTTTGGCTGGCATCGGATTAGAGGTTATAAATTCCATGTGTTATGGATGTCTTTGTGGGCAAGACAAGAAGTTAAAGGCACCAAAGATGGAATGTTTAAGAGCTCCTTATGATGAGTTCCTGGCTTTCAAGTTCTCTTTGGTGAGTTCGGGGGTTAGGATCTTCCTTTGGCGAGTTTCATATATATTATTAATCATAGGTTATTCACAAGATAGGGATTGCAATGAGGGTAAGGTTTTACTGATTGAAGTAGGTTTTCATGTGAATCCCCTGGTGATTCGATCCCTGACTCGTGAACTAAACACTATGGCATTGTAAACTTTTAAGTCTGTTGAATGACTTTGTGTGTCTTGGGTTAAAGAGAATGTATTGTGTGGCATTTCATTGGATCTTGTAGACTTACTTTCCTCCTGATTTGATTTATAGAACTGTGTGGACCTTGGGGTGCCTGTCAGAGTAATTCGCGGTCATGAATATGCTAGCAGTTACACTGGGAAAGTGTATACATATGATGGCTTGTACAAGGTAATTTTATGAACCACTCGTACACTTTGGTTTTTGAAGCTGTATGATACGTCTTCTTTGGTATCATGTTATATGTTGTGAAAATTGATTAATTTCCTTTTCCCCTTCTCTGTATGAAATATGATGATTAAAACTATAATCTTGTTCCTAATCCTAATTAACTGTGAACATTTTGAATGCATAATATAATATGTACAGTTTCGTCTTTGATAAGTTGGGTGGAATATGAAAATGTTTGAGGACTGTTTCGTGCTTGATATGACTGCCTTACCTTTTTGCTTCCATCATGGCTGAATGGTGTCTTGCAGTCTTTATCACAAAGCATGTACTCATTGTTTTTCTTTTTTGGGAAAACAAACTGAGACAAAATCTTTCCTATTGTTCAAAGCCAAAATTAAAGCAACCAGATAGCTACATATTGCTGAAAAGATAATGTGAACAAGGAATGTGAACAAGGAGTATTTTGCTGTTCTTCTTGATAAGTTACATCTCAAACATTTTATGTCTCACGTGCCATTGGTTGAATGATGCTTTTTGAGTCTGATTTTGCCTAGAAAAAACTCGTCAGTTTTCTGGCTGGTTTGTCTTTTATCTGCTTGGAAGTGTAGCCTTGTATTCTTTGATCATGCAAGACATGCATATCACTTTTCGTAATATTTGAAAATTTGTTTAAATAACAGATGATATTCTTTTAGCTGTAATCTTCTGAAGATGGCTTCTATTATATGGAGAGTTCCTTTTGAGATTTATTTTGATGATAATAAATCAGTCTTTGTTGATTTGAGAAATATAAGGTGCTTTATACCTAAGATTCAATAAGATGTAATGCATTTAATTACCTGCACACTATTTGCAGGTTGTTCAGTACTGGGCAGAGAAGGGTATTTCTGGGTTCACAGTTTTTAAATATCGATTGAGGCGGCTAGAAGGACAGCCAATATTAACAACTAATCAGGTTTATTATCTGGTCTATGATTTCTTGCGGCTAATTATTCTAATTTTATAGGGCATTTATTTTCGGACACAATGTTATTTCCTTGAAGACGATTCTGATTGTTCTAGTACACTTTCCCTGTATCTGAACTTCTACATGTGAACTGTACCCAAATTTTGAGGAATTGTAGTGTTATGTTTTTAATCGTTAAAAAGAATGGGAAACGGAGTGAACTACCTAATCTTGGCAGTGACTGACTTGTAAAATATAGAAAATAACTATTTATTATGTAGATTGAAGATGTTTTAGTTCCAGGGGGTAATTGACAGAATGAGATGCTGGACACTTTCTGAAGTTAAATTTTAGAACTTTTGTGAATATTGTTAAAATACTTTGCTCACATTTGAATGATCATATAGGATTTTTGGAATTTTCTGTTGATTATTGTTATTTGTTTGTTCATTCTTGTGACAGGTTCAATTTACATATGGGCGTGTTCCCAAGTCTTCTTCTGAAATTCGTGGGTATGAAAGAATTAACTATTTTAGAAAGTCACTTCTTTCTGTATGTCATTATATCCAGTCTCTCAATTCTATTGTTTTATTGGTTAAGGTTGGTGTGCGAGGACATAAGTGGTGGTCAAGAGGATGTTCCTATTCCAGCTACTAATTTGGTTGATGATCCACCTGTTGCACCAACAGGCAAGCTTGACTTTCTGACATGCTATTTGATTTTCATGCAAATCTGATCAAACAGTGTATTGCGAATATAATTTGGCTGTAAGAATTGAGTGCTAGTTTCACAACAAGAGATTTTCTCTTCTCATGACTTGGGGAGTTCCTTGGTTTCTGGCCAGTTATTTTAGTTCAATAGTATTGATATCTCATCTTATGATCCTGATCAACCACATCATCCACCTTGAGGTTCTAAATTTACCACCATTTGTCTTCTGCAATTTCAGCAAGAGTTCTTCTAAACAATATTACACGTGTATAAATAGTTGATTGGTTCCCCTTGCTGATGTTTCTTCTAGTTGGCTTTGCAGCATGATCTGCTGCAGAAGGTCCTTTTTGAAGGTCAACTATCTTCGTTTCTAAGTGATTTTTCCCTTCTATCATTTTTTTTATAGGAATTGAAGGCCTCATTAAAAACCCCTTCATGATTAAGGAACTCAGATTGAATTCCTTAATCAGATGAAGGAGGAAAAGAGTGCCTTAAACTTTATTAATCAAGATACATAAGATTTACAACATTAAGATAAAACCCTTACAAACAAACGTAAACTCCAAAAATAAAGTGTTGAGTTAATCAATAGATGGAATCGGCCAAGAGGGGGGTGAATTGGCAATTAAAAATCTGGTGGAAGCTTTTGCAGAAAATTGAAAGTAATTGCACAGCGATTTAGAGTGGTTCGACTTTCTCAACCAAAGTCTACGTCCACTACCTTAGCTATCCACATTAAGGATTTTCCAACAAATTCACTAATTTGTTCTTTCTTTTGAGGCCAAAGAGATAACCTTACAACTCCTCAAGAATATACCCAAATTCTTGAGAACACTCTGTCTCAAAGAGGATATTACAAATTTGCAAATTTATAAGGAAATCCTCACAAGGTAGATTGTTTGCACAATTCTTGAACAAAAAAAAGAACTAAAAAATGAATACAATTGAGGACAAGTAGTGTTCTTGAAAGCAAAATGAATATTGAATGAAAAATAGGCTTGAAGTGCTCAAACAATGATTTTGATGTTTTCTCTTTGATTCTCTCTTGATTCTAGCTTCTTGTTGTTTCTTCTTATTTCTTCTTTTTGATCAATGACTTCTAAGCTTGTTTATATACTCCTTCAATTGATTCTGAACGTTGAGGATGATTAGTGGAGTCAATAGAGCCGTTTAAGTGTGAAAACAATTAATAAAATCAGTTGGGAGCGTTAGTGCATCGTTGCATACACAAGGTGTGTAACACCCCCAACCCGTATCCCAACTCGGATACGAGTCAGAGATATTACATTGACTTTTAAAACACAACTCATTACAAATAATAGTAAAATACTTGAACTTATATTACGAAAAATACAATAATATACATATGGTAATATAAGTTTACCAAAATATTCAGAGCATACACAACTTAACTCTTTAATTACATGCCAACATCCATTTTCATAACAAAATGACCTACTGATTAAGTTGCTTCTGATCTGATAGTTGCAGGAGTAATGTTATCCAGCTGCTTAACCTCGATCGTCTACTTATCGGATCCTACGTGTGAAACACTCACACGCTAAGTCATCGACTTAGTGAGGCAATAATATAATAATAATATCAATAAATATAAAGTAATTGCCAAAATGAGATGGGTTGCAGTAATAAGATGTATGTAAACAATGCAATAACCAAAACCATGTTTCTTACACATACTTATCAAATTCACTTTCATAAGTTCGACTTAGTAAGTTCATTAGCCCATGGTACCATACAGAGAACCTAAGGTATGTGAGTATTGTGAGGTTGTGCACTATGCTGTCACCACAACTCATATAATTGCACCTAAGTGCCACGTAGAATTGCACCGGAGTGCCGCGTAAAATTACACCGTAGTGCCGCGTAGAATTGCACCGTAGTGCCATATAATAATGTCCATAAGGACCATATATTATTCCTTAAGAATCATATACATATACCAAAGATCAAGTATGTGTCTCACCAGACCTCACACATGTTCCAAAGAATACATATATGTCCCGAAGAACCACATATCATTCCTTAAGAATCATATACATATACCAAGGATCAAGTATGTGTCTCACCAGACCTCACACATGTTCCAAAGAATACATATATGTCCCGAAAGACCACATAGACCCTCTACCCTTGGCATGCCAACTATACCTATAGTTCTCATTTACATAACATGGGCTTTCACAATTTATCTAATTTATATCACGTAGACATATTATTTCCATACCTTTATCATATAACTCATATAATTTTTTCTTTCATATTCATGTCCTATAATGCATATGGTATGGATTCATGTCATATATCATCATATGAACTACGATCATGTATCAAAATATTGAATCTAGACTTATCACAAGTCTAGAACTGAATAAAATACATATTCATGCTATGCATATGCACTCACCTAGATTTCTTTGTCTTTCCCTCGATTGATCCTACTTGTCGATGGTTCCGGAACTCGATTAGGCTCAATATCTACATAAGCAAAATTTTCAAGATGATTATCAGATGCCTAAGTCTTGAAATTAACCTCTAATAGCCTATCAATTTAAAGAATTGATAGTTTAGTCTCTCTTCTTTCTTTTCTCTTTTTTTTATTATGGGGGAATCGGTTCCCCCTGGGGGTATCGATTCCCCTCTAGCGTTCTGGAAATTCATATTCGTTTGAGGGGGTATCGATTCCCCTTGAATGGGTATCGATTCCCCTAGCCCAGAAATCCTATTTTGAGCTCGAAATTCACTTCAATTCAGCTTAAACCTTCATATTTTACTTCCTTTAATATTCCTAACTTCCATACACATATTTAAACTCATTTCTATTCCATAATCACTTCTTTAAACCCAAAATTCCATCATTTACATGGCATTCAAGAATCACACTAAATTTTCAAGGTGTTCTAATTCCAATTCTAACACTTCATATCCCTTAATTAACTTGATGACAAGTCAAATCTCACTTCCAATTCTTATTATGAACTCTAATCTAAGATTTTACTTTTCTACTTCCTTTCTTTAATTCTTCATATACTTCTCATCTTGAGGTTTTAAAACAATTTAAACTTCCTTTAAGCTTAACTATTGCCTAATGGTCATGAATCAACCATAAATTCATCAAGAAATTCACTAACAAGAGAATCTTACCTTAGCTTGGGTCTCACGTATGAAGAAGAAGAAAGAAGAAGAGGACTCTGGAAGCTTGTTTTAATTTCCTACTCTTCCACGTGGTTAATATAATACTAACCCCAATAATTATATTGCTATAAAAAAGACCATTTTGTCCTTCTAATCTTCCTTCTTTATAATTCAATCCTACACAAAATAATTCAAATAAGTCATTGAACTCTTCCATCACTCTACTTAAATCACCAAATGCTGAAACTTTACAAATTAATCACTAACCCGGCATGGAGGATGTTACAAGGTGCATTAAGTGTAAAATTCAAATATTTTGACCGTTGGACCCTTAGTGCATCGGTGCACTAAGAGTGCATCGATGAATGGTATGTGCATCGATGCATAAAATGCATTCAATGTTCAATTTATTCAATGGTGCATCGATGCATGGATTGGTGCATCGGTGCATCCCTTTGAGAAATTGATTTTAGTCTTGATTTTGGTTCAAAATACTTTGTGAAAATTGTTTCAAAAATATATTAAGTATAAAATACAATTTAACACATTTAGTAAGTTTGAAATTGATCTTGAAAGACTTGGAGTAATAATTTGATATTTGATTAATTAAATTGAATATACTTATAAAAATCTTTTGTAAAATCTTAAAATTCATTTATACTTAGTTTGTTATATCGAAACATCAAAATGTTTTCAACATAAAGTACCACAAACACAGTAAAATTAACCAATACCAGACTTAGCCAAACCATCAGCCTCTATAATGGCTGTCCTAGCCACCCATCTAATAACTCCCTCTAGTTCTTTAAGTTTAATTGCTATATCCCTGACAATGGAGGCATATAAAATAGGACAAATAGCTTCGTATTTAACCCAATCCACTACCATTTTACAATCTGATTCTAAGATCAACCGACCCTTAATACCTGCTCTCACTAAGTCAAGGAAATATAATCCCTCATTAACAGCCTTCAACTCCATCAGAATAGGTGGACCCGGACTAGAAGCCTTCTTAAAAGAACCTAACAATAAACCTTCTTCATCTCTTAGAATACCCGCAATTCCACTACTCTTCCAATCAGAATTGGTAGCTGCATCTACATTCAGCTTGACAAAGCCCTTAGGAGGGGGGACCAAGGGATGGTAGAGACAATCGATTTGTTGAGAGGGAAACATGAATCCCCAAGGGAAGGGTCACTGATAAGAGCGTCCAAAGAAATAACAGAATCTGCAAACTTAGCTAAAAACCAAGATGCAAGCCTAACTCTTGCTAAGAAAAATAAGTTAGTCTGATCTAACTTGCCTCTTTCAAAGACGATATCATTCCTAACTTTCCAAATAGTCCAAATAACAATAGCCGGAATAAAGTTTCAAATAGCAGAACTGGAATTAAGTTCTTCCCAAGCTAGAAGAAAGTTCTGCGCATTTCCATGAAAGACCGAACAAATGCTCCAATACTGCAAAAATTTATTCCACAGAGACCACACTACAGAACAAGAGAAAAATAAATGAGAAGAGGATTCATCAACCAAATTACAAAGAGGACAAGAGAGATCTACAATATCCGTAACCCTCTTTTAACCAGTTCTGCCCTAACTGGCAGTTTTTGAAGAACCACCTGCCACATAAATACCTCAATTCTTGGTAGCACCAATCCTTTCCACAAAATTTTCTTCCAAAAATAATTCACCTGAGAAGCCTGGGAACAACTCTTCACACATGAATTAACAGAATAAACACCAGCCCCATTCCCTTTCCACATCAGTGCATCACTGGCCTCTCTAGACAAACAAAAATTAGAAATAATTGTCATCAAATTAGTCCATTGCTCAAATTCCCAATCCACTAAACTCCTCCTCAATTGAATATTCCAAATCCATCCTAAAGAACTAAACTCGCCGAAATCAATCAATTTACTATGATTCGAAGAGATAGCAAACAACCTTGGGAAATAGACCTTAGGAGGGCAGTCCATTGCCCATTTGTCCTGCCAAAAGCGAATAAACCGACCACTACCAACTTGAATTCTGCACAAACTTCGAAACTTTGAGCCAAAAAAGTCTTCCTTAAAATGAGTATAACCACTGACCTCCAAATCCAAGAAGATTGAGCTGGAATCTTGCTATTGAACAGTAATGAGGAAGGATCCAGATTGTATTTAGAACAAATCAACCTCCTCCAAACAGCATTCCTTTCATTAGCAAACCTCCAAGACCATTTCCCAAGTAGAGCTATGTTCATATTTAAAATATTCAACACTCCCAAACCTCCATCCTCCTTAGATTTGCACACATTAGGCCAACTAACCCAATGAATCTTGTTTCTATCCATCCCCCTCCCCATAGGAATTTAGACATTATGGAATTAAGTTTGGAATTAACCGAGGAGGGAATTTTAAAAAGAGATAAGTAGTAAGTTGGAAGTGAACAAAGAACCGATTTAATCAAGACTAACCGCCATGCCAATGAAAGAGTGGTTGATTTCCAGCCTGCAAGCTTCTTGTTAAATTGTAAAACCACCGGATCCCAAAGAGAGGTTGAATTCCTAGTTGCATCGAGAGGCAAGCCTAAATAATCAGAAGGAAAATTTCCAACTGTACAACCAATAGACGAGGCCCACTCCTCAACCTCCTCTGTAGCCTTATTAACACCAAATAACCTGCTTTTTTTCAAATTCAATTGAAGACCAGATAGAGTTCAAACATAGGACCCTCTTAACATTAACAATATGTTTCTTTCGAAGCCCCACAGAAAATAATTAAGTCATATGCAAATTGCAGATGAGATAAATTAATAGCCGTCTCATTCCTTCCAATCTGCAGTCCAGAAAACAATCCCTCAGATACTGCCTTTAAAAGCAGTAAATTTAGAAGTTCCCCAACTAAGTTGAAAAGCATAGGAGACAAAGAACAACCCTGGCGAAGACCCCTTGCCATAGGGAATTCCTGAGAAGGGACCCCATTGACCAAAACTGAAATTGAGGCTGTTGTTTGCACTAGCTATTTTTCACATGCACAATTGTCTTGCACCTTTCTGCTAACGGTACACTTTTCTTCACTTTTACCTATCATTTTCTGCCTTTTCTCCAACTTTGTTCATTCTTTTTAGAAGATCTCTTCCATTTTATGCAATGATGTGTTTGTGCATGCATAAATTGCTATAATTCTATTTTTGTGTGTGTGTGTGTTTTTAGGCTACACTTATTGCAAGTCAATGAAACTTGCATGCAATATAAAGCTCCCCGCTAATGCTGCTGGATGCAGTTGCAAGGGAGCTTGCTGGGATCCCAAGACTTGTGAATGTGCTAGACTTAATGGTTCTGATTTTCCTTATGTGCAGCGTGATGGTGGCAGGTGAAGTTATAGAAATAACAAGACTTAATGCCATCCTCTTTTTTTGTTATTAATCAAATTTGTTATTTATTAGCACTCTCCTGTTTCTTCAATTCTAGATTAATTGAAGCCCGACATGTTGTTTTTGAATGTGGTCCAAATTGTGGCTGTGGTCCAAGTTGTGTAAATCGAACATCCCAGAGAGGATTGAGATACCGATTGGAGGTTTCTTATTACATCGAGAATAATTTCTTTGCCCGTTCCTTTTCTTGATCCTGTGATGGATTCTGGTTGAAACATCTCTTGAATAAAATCTGACTGACATGAATTGACAGGTTTTCCGTACTCCAAAGAGAGGATGGGCTGTTAGGTCTTGGGATTTTATACCGGCTGGTGCCCCAGTTTGTGAATATATTGGAGAACTCATGAGGACAGAAGAGCTTGATAGTGTCTCTGAGAATAATTACATTTTTGAAATTGATTGCTTGCAAACTATGAGAGGGCTTGGCGGCAGAGAGGTATAACTGGTCTCTTTAGCAGTGTGATGCATCTAGCTTTATGTTTCAGGTTGAGTGTTTTGTTTGGTATGGTAGTGACATCCAAAGGGCCCAATCTAGCAATGTATTCAAGTTTGTAGGGAAACGTTTCTTTTAATGAAACATTGTTCTTCTGATCTGTGATATATTTGGTTTTATCATGGAGTAGTTTTTGTCTGCATGTAGGAATGTGATTATTATGTTTTTCTTTTCCTTGACAGAGGCGGCAGCAGGATGGATCTTTTCCAGTGATCCAAAATGAGGATGAAATTGATGACCAGAGATCAGAGAATGTGCCAGAGTTCTGCATTGATGCTGGTTCTATTGGAAATATTGCAAGATTTATCAATCATAGCTGTGAGCCTAACCTCTTTATCCAGTGTGTCCTGAGTTCACATCAGGATGTTAAACTAGCTCGAGTGATGCTCTTTGCAGCAGACAACATCCCTCCTTTGCAGGTAATTTTCCTCCCATTTTGGTGTGTAGAGATTGAGCCACCTTTTAAATATCTTTTGAACGTGTTCAGCAGCAATTTCTGGATTTTAGCATAGTTTCTTGTATTTTTGCTTCCAAAAAAAATGATAATATTTGGAGCAAGAGTCAGCTTTTAGGTCTCATGCCCACCATTGATATATATATATATATATATATACATATATCAATAGGTATTAGATGATTTTAGCATAGTTTCTTGTATTAGATGATAATATTTTCTCCTCTTTGATTTGCTGGATATTTATTTATTATGAAAAAATAACTGGATAATTATTTTGGGTGGAGTTTGAAGGGTGACTGGATACTATTTTTCTATATTCTTGCTTGTAGGAGCTTACTTATGACTATGGGTATGCCCTTGATAGCGTTTATGGTCCTGATGGGAAGGTAAAAAGGATGGCATGCTACTGTGGAGCAGAAGGTTGCAGGAAGCGGTTATTCTAAGTGCTGAAATTGATCCTGTTTGTATGTATGTATGTATCTGCATTCTTTACTGATTCTTTTTGTCTCACTTGCAAACTGGTAGGGGCAATGTCTATAGGCTTCCCTATGTTTTGGGTCCAATGGTGACCGGTTAGGCGCTGCTAGATGTTTTGGTGACAATTTTTTGTTGCAAGTGTAGAAATCTTGTCTCAGTCCCCTCGCAAACCCTGTACAAGAAATGCACTAGATACTGGTTATATCAGCTCAAGAGAGTTGATGAAAAAGAACGGGTATGCATATATCGACACATTTGTTTCATTTTCTGTAAACATGATCCATTTACACCTATGGATGGTTTACATCAAGACCCTGTAAATCATTGATAAGAGAATTAAACAATAAATTTATAACATTTTCCTGAGGTAGTAGCTTCATAATAGCCAAAGAATCAATCTCGACATACTGAGTAATGTTGAGATCCTTAGCTAGAGGCAATCTTGAAGAGCTCAACCATGTAGGAAGAATTTCCAATAAACTTTTAGGAACCAGCGCACCAATTGCCCATCAAGTTCCGAATGATAGAACTAGATCCGGCTAGAGCCATGAGAGTAACGGTAAATATGTAGAAATAAAACAAATATATTAAAAACTGTAAAAGAAATTATAATAGTAATTCATTTACAAAAGGGAAACATCTGACTTGATTAGCAAACAAGTTTAGGTTGGATGCACAAAAATTAGCAAAACAGGAAAGCAAGAACATATATGGTAAAGGGATTAAAATAACAAAAAGACGCTCCGAATACACACATATATAACGCAGCATCCATGGATGAGAAAATCAAAGAAAAATAATGAAACTAAATAAATGTTGAATATAAGTGTACCATATATAGGCCGAATGAGACTCATTAAACAAATCAATCTGCCTACTCTATCGAGCTCTTCTTTTTAATCTTTTCTTTTATCCAGTTTCCTTCTGTCTACACAAAAGTATAGTATCTTGCTGACAACATAACGCTTGCCCTCCAGACAAACTAGAAAAGTCACAGATCAGAATATTATTAGATGATTAATAACTAATCATGCTACTCCGAGCAAGATTTAATACGATATTGACGTGCTGCTTTCTGGGAGTTGTTTCTGTTGTCAGTGGTTGTTTGTGGTTCATCTTCCTCCATTGCACAAACTCCATCATCGGTATCCCCAGCTGCAATTCCAATCATCAAGCCTCTTTTATGCACGGCCTCCTTGTCAGTACTTTCCTGGGTTGGTTTTGGCTCGCTGCAACTTTTTCCCATGATCACGTCGCCAGTTTTCCTCCTTGGTATAAAAGTTACTGGTTTTGCAAGATCAATTGGAGCATCATCAGCATGTGGTTCTGTACCATCTGACCTCCTAACCAGTTTAAGGAAATCCATATAGGCTGACCGATTTGATTCATCATCAAAATCACCAGTTTCTAAAGTATATCGAGTATACTTTGAAGGGTTCTGCATATAATCTGGAATTCCAGATGGATAATCCTGAGATAAAGTAGATACCTCATTGGAGACCATGGCGTCTTCTTTCTCAGTCGAGCAAACTTCCCCTGGAACATCATTTGTTCTTTCAGGGTCTTCACTGCAATCACTTTTACAACATTCAGAATCAAAACGGACACGTTTCTGTGATTTTGAATTTGACTCGGTATCCTTTCTCTTCAGGATGGATTTCAGGTTACCATTCTCATATGCACTAATGTGACCCTCCACACTGACAGTTGCATCACCATCAGACACATGCAATGAATCAATTTTTTTAGCAGTTTCAGCATCTTCTTCAAGCCTTTTCTTAGCATCTTCTTCATCTTCCTTGAGCCTAAGTTTTGCAGCAATGTGATTGGCACGTGGATCTTTACTGAAATCCTTGCACGCAGTTGGAAGTACATTGCCAGAATCCGCATCTATGTCATAATCATTTGCAGCATTCATGTAAAGGCAATCTTCATTCTTATCCCTGCCAACAGCCACTTTATCGTAAGCATCTTCTTCTTCCTGCACAAGAATCACGGAAAGATAATCAAGAGCAGAATGCCAGATAAGAGTGGGACCCTAGGTCTACAAAATTATAGCAACCGTGATATCTCAAACCACTAGGCAACATAACCCTTAACAAGTGAAACTGATGCATCTGTCATCCACAGCACACCCAAATGCGTGCTCTGGTTATTAGCTTCTGAATTCTGCAACTTATATATTTTTTATATTTCCTACTAGCATTTAAATTTTATATGAAGGCAAAAATAAGCATACTCGGATTGAAAAACTATACCAGTTATCTTTTGATATTTTTCTTTCCATGGAAATGATTGAAATAACTCCAATTCAATTAGTCTACGTGCTTCTTACAAGTCGAGGAAATTTCATTCAAAGTTTACACTCTGGAATCTTGAATGATAACATTCTTTAGAAGCAAAAACATATTCCAATACAGCCAACTAGCTTAATTATTCCATCTAAGTAAATTGAGGAAAAAAAATAAAAGAGGGAAAAGGAGAAGAAACCTCATAATCAAGAGTACAGTCCCTTCCAATGGAAGACTTAATATCCCACTCCTCGTCATTATAATCCTCTGGCTTAGTCTGTTTACTCGAGGAGGCGCGACCTTCTTCTTCCTCGTCGTCTAGGTCATCGAGATCCTTCCCCAGCTCCGCGCCAAAACCAGTGGCATCCTTCTTGTTCTTCGGTGGAAAGTTGTGGAAGAAGCCCTCTCCCTCCTCTTCGTAGTCCTCGTCCTCCTGGAGAGTCTTCTTGTCTCGGTTCCACTCTCGTTTTTCGATTTCCTCGTCGGTGAGGCTCCAAAGAGAGCTCAATGGCATCGATTTAGAATTAGACGAAGCATTGAGGGAGCCGAAAACTTTACCGACTCGGACATTGAAGCTGTCTTCCATGGTGGTTAGTTAGAACGGTAATTCAAGTAATTAGGATTTAGTGAATGTGAAATTGGGAATGGGTTGAATGAGCTAACTTAACCATATAAAAATATAGAGTGAACGGTAGAAGCATCGGCCTAATAGAGACCCATCTGTAGCCCATTTCATCGGTTATCTAATCTAACCTCCGATGAAATTGAAGACAGTAAATAGAGGTGAGATTAACTATTGTAATGCGGAAATTAGGTAACAGTAATATTATTTATTATTCGAATAGAATAACAGTAATATTAAAATGAGAAAATAACCTCAGTGACCGAAAATGCCTTATAATATACGATTTTAACTAATTTTTTTTTTAATTTGCCAAAATGACCAACAAATTCGCAACGCGAACTCCAAATTCGCAACGCGAATCTGTAAATCGCAACACATGAGTTAAATTCGTAACGCGATAGTCAAATTCACAACAAAAAAGTCAAATTCGCAACGCGAATTTGTAAATCGCAACACATAAGTCAAATTCGCAACGCGATAGTCAAATTCGCAACACAAAAGTCAAATTCGCAATGCGGAATTTCAAATTCGCAACTGAATTTCAAATTCGCAACTAGATTTTCGAATTCGCAACACGAATTTAATTTCGCAACAGGTTTTAGTTTCGCAACACATGTTTTGGGTATATAACAACGCAGCAGCAGCAACTCATAACCTAAATCCCTAAATCGCAACTCATTCCATCTCCATCTATCACTCTCTCCGGCGACATCCGTTCCTATATCCAACGACATCCTTCCCCATCTCTAATTGTTTTTTACATAATTTTATTTCTATATAATTTTTTTAATGATTTCTCTCTCAAATTATCAACTATCAACTTAATAAAGATGTTTTTCTCTAAGTTAGTGATGATATCTAGCTTATAGCTCGTTTGTTTAGTAAATTAATTTACAATTTGTAGAATGAAATCATCTAATGTTGATTATGTTTGGATAGATTTGTATTTTGGAGGGTCATGGGAGAATGTTCATGGTGTTTTACAATATGTGCCTTTACCCATGAACCTTCAACTAAAACTATCATTAAAAAAGTTAACTTATGAAACTCTAATATTACGTGTTGCAAAGAAATTGAATTTAGAGCCTCTAAGTGGATTTAGGCTATCTTATCAAAGAAAATGTAAAGTTTATTTGTTAACCGACAATGAAGATGTTGAACGATTCATTGCTTACATTAGTATTTCACAAGAAGATGATGTTACATTGTATGTTGTTGAACCTAGAAGTAGTGAAGTTGGGTCAGTAGCGGGTAGTAATCAACTAAGTTCTTCAACCCCAGTTTATGGTGCTCACAATGTACAACGTTGTTATCAACCTCAAAATTTAATGGTTTCACCACAATTTCATCACCAAGAAAATTTTGTTTCACCACATTTCCAATACCAAACACAATATCAAACAATATCTCAAAACCCACAACATTTTCCTAATCTAAATCCCAATCAACTTTTAGCACCAAATTCCGGTTTTCGTATTGACCAGTTAGACGATTATAAGCCAACAGAAAAAATTGTGAGTACTAGTCAGTATTCGAAATTTGATCTTAGTCAATACCCGGACTTTGATCTTGGTCAATACTCGGATTTTGATGATGTGATGGAAGAAGAAACAGACCCTGCATGTAATAATTTTGATATTGGTCAATACCCGAATTTTGATGATGAAACAGCCGCTACCGAGGAAGATGTTGTTGATGATAATGAGGAGGAAGTTACAACTGTGAATGAACATGTTGAATATCCATTCTATAATTCATATAACCCTGAAGAAGAAAAACAAGAAGAAAAAGTCCCCGAATGAAAGAAAAAGAAGAAAATGCCACGGGAGTATAACTGGAATATACCAGAATTACTTCAGATACTGGAAGAAGAGTTGGTAAAGATAGCAGTTGATTGTTACACAAAAGTTATTCATATCAAGAAAGATAATTGTTTTGATACAAAGGAAGACTTGAAGATAGCTTTGTATACGAAATGTGTGGAAGATGGCTATCAACTAAAAGTTAACAAATCAAGCAAAGATCGTTTCGAAACAAGGTGTATGATTGACAAAAACTGTACCTGGCGTATGATTGCAAAGAGGATAAAAGATTGCAAAATGTTTCAAGTTAGGACTTTTATTTATAAACATACATGTTCAAGAACCCAAATTTTTCCTCACCATAGACAGTTAAACAAAAAGGTGTTGGGTGGTTTTCTGGCTGAGTTAATGTTTTTGAATGGAAGGTATATCGGGGACATGAAATTATGACTGACATGAATGCTCGGTTCAAGATTAGTATCTCATATTCTCAAGCTTAGAGAGTCAAATGTTATGCCTTGGAATTGTTGAGGGGGTCGCCAGAAGCATCGTTTGCCCAACTGCCGGTTTATTGTCACAATTTAAAGCTGAAAAATCCTGGGTCGGTAACTCATATCAAAACAGATAGAGATAGACGCTTTGAGTTGCTGTTTATCGCCATTGGTGCTGCGGTTAGTAAATAATTATAATTTTTTTGAATCATTTTTGTTAGTTGCATGCATTTCACATTTAAATGATTATATTTCTTGTGTATATGATTTTGTAGATTCGTTCGTTTATTACTTGTATGCGCCCAATTATTATAGTTGACGGAGCACATTTGAAAGGTCGATACCTTGGAGTAAACTTATTAGCAGTAGCCATGGATGCTAACAATGGGATACTGCCAATAGCTTACGGGGTTGGCAAATCTGAAACCTCTGATTCATGGATATGGTTTATGGGGCATATTAGGGATTACATAGGTCCTATTAGCAATCTGACAACCATATCCGATAGGGCAAACTTAATTGACAACGCTGTAAGAAGGTGTTTTCCAGATGCTTTTCATGGACTTTGTGGTGTTCATTTGTATAGAAATCTAAAATCAAGGTCTGCTGGTATAAAAAATCACAAATGGATATACTGGAAGGCTGTAAAAGCTTATCGGGAAGTGGATTTTAATAAGCATATAAATTGTTTAAGACGAGTTTTGCTTCAATGTGCTCAAACACTAGAAGATGTCGGGTTTGAAAGATGGTCAAGAGTACATCAACTTGGAGCAAGATATGGTTTCATGATGTCTAATAGTGCAGAATCAATCAACGCTCTAAGTCTTCATTCCCGGAAATTACCCATTACTATGTTAATGGAGTTTTTTCGAGCCTCTATTTAACAGTGGTACTACAAGAAAATAAACCATGCAGGTATTATTTCTTTAAATTCGTAACTTATCATATATTATACTAAGTATTATTATTTAAATTTACAGGAACATTGGAACGTCGTGTTACACCATGGACTGAAAATAAAAGATAACGAAACGTGTTGTGAAGTCAACGTCATGGAGAGTTGAACCATGTTCAAACACTTTGTTTGAAGTATTGGATAATAACTTAAATGGGCTTGTCGATCTAAATGCAAAGACGTGTAGTTGTAAGAAATGGCAAACATCTGGTTATCCGTGTGGCCATGTTATAAAAGTTGCTCTTCATCTAAACCAAGAAGATTCAAGCGCATACGCTATGGATTGCTACACTACAGAAGTATATCGACAGACTTATGTCGAGATTGTCTACCCATGTCCACATCCTTCTGAGTATGACATACCAGATGACTTACAAACAGTTTTGCCACCAGTCATGGACAACAAGCAACATGGCCGACCAAAAAATCATGATCGTATACCGTCTAAGGGTGAAGAGAAGAGGATATCGACATGTAGTCAGTGCAAGGAAAGTGGTCATACAAGGTTGACATGTGGATCACCAGTGCCATCACAATCATCTTTTTCTCTACCAAAAAATGGATCCTCGTCAAAATCCAAAGCTCATATGGTGCCAAGCAAAAGGAAATCAAAATCGCAATCAAAATTAAAATCCCAATCACAACCGGCTTCACCTTTTGGGACTTATTAATTTAGGTGATTTTTAAATGAAAACGTTGTATTATGTGTATTTTATGTGTGAATGCATACATTTTCAGTTAGACATTCATTAGTAACTTGAGTTTGAACATTGCTATGATCTGTTCAGTTGTTATCATGTTGGGATTTTCTCTTGTGTTTGATTGCTTGGATAGTTGTTCTATTGCTTCTTCAAGTGTCTTTAGCTTGTATTTATAGCTTGGAATGTGTTTGATGTTGTATATAACTTGATGTTGTATGTCGCGATCAACGCGAAAGTCAAATTCGCAATGCGAAATCGCAAACCGAAAATCGCAACGCGAATTTGACTTTCGCGTTGCGAATTTGACTATCGCAATGCTTATTTCGCGTTGCGAATTTACCTTTAGCGTTGCAAATTTGACTTTTGCGTTACGAAAGTTTACCTTCAACAGGTCTTTTTTACCTTCAACATAATGCAGATTGAAAATTAAACAACAAATCAATTAAACATTGTTGTGGGTACATTATTTAGAAAATAATGTTTCGGACTTCATTAGAAATAACCCTTTTTCATCGGATTAATTTTGTTTTTGTGAGTACATTATTTGAACATTGTTATGTATAAATTTGTTGTGTATGTATGTTTTGGTTTGATTATATTGTATGTATATTTTCATTCAGATAAGATGGACTGTGCATAACAAAACAATCTATCTCTTCCATGTGAGTACTTTATTCCAACCATGTGACAAGTGTGACAACCCCATCAACTCACAACTCAGCTTTGAACTCAATCAATATTGTCTTTTAGCTTGATGGTTCATAAAGCATGTTACTTGAATAGTATGAATCAATTATGCAATTTCCATATTCAATTTAACACTGCATTTCAAATTCATTTCATATGTAATTGGAGTTTGAATTTAAATTTCAATTTGAGTTTGAATTTCAATATAAATTTCGGCTCCACTATAAATATTAGCCCAAGTCTTTGTTCCATCCAGACAACAATTTACTCAATGGAATAACTTAGCCAATATGCATGTTATCATTGATTATTCCTAATTTCCATTGTTTTTTTTAACTTTAAACGCGAGGGAAATCCCGACCATTGTAATTATTGGTTAACAA